TTAATGTAACAATGAATCCAAAGATTAAAACAAATGTTGTTCTTCAAAAAGAAAAGGGTCTTGTGATCCAGTTGATATGAGATTTATACACATTTTATATATAAAAAAAAAAAAATCATATTTACAGGTTTACACTTTTTTTAATGTTCAATTGAGCTGCAGATGTCAATCTGCAACTTCTTAAACTGGTCAGTTAAGCATGCATGGCAGCCGATTTCCCTGTTGTTGAAAAAAAAAGTGACTTAACTGTGGAGCTGTAATTCTTTTACTTGCAAAAAAAAAAAACCACAGAGAAAAAATGACACAAAAGCGCACAGCTTTTTTTCCGGGTTTTGGTTTTAATCCTAAAATGTGTTTTTTTTTTACTTAGACAATGATCTCACATGCCAAATCAATAAGGAAAAACTGTAGCCTCAGACATATGAAACTTTGGGGGGGATCTTTGGAAATACATAATGAAACTTTAACTGCTTATTAAAGGTGCATCGTCATGTTATGACTTTTTTTAATTTGTACGCCAGTACCTTCTGGTTGCATAAAAAGTGTTTCGGAAAACTTACTCACGCTCTATTAATAAGCTGCATCTTTTCTGGCTTTTTGATAGTTCTGCAGTACTGCCAGCAGTTGGCACACAATGGCAAAAATACACTATTTTTGCCTGCTCATGGTACCCAGGTGCTGGAATTATATTTAGGCTCAAAACAAACAAAACACAACCAGGACAGATCCTTAATCTTTACCATGTTCAAATGTTTTTTGGCCTTTTTGTAGTCATAATGTACCTACACACCTTTATGTACCTTTATTTACCTATGTACTGCCTACAAAAAAATAATAAAATTGTGTTTTTGTTTTTTTTACTGCTACTTGTTTTCCCTTAACTGTTTTTTTAAACCTTGAACTTCCCTTTAATGACAATCTTTCTCAGTCCGGTTCTAATCTGCAGCCATTGACATATCTGCTGTGAAACAAAGAGCATTGCCAAAGGCTCATGTCTATTCAATTTCCACCATAAATCTTTAAACAGATCGATGACTGTTTGCTGGCCTGGTCCCTTTTTTTCCTGTGGAATAATCCTGAAAATGTATTCATATTTGCAAGCTATTCTTCTGTACTTCGTTCAACAACAAAGGAATAGCTGCTGCTGCACTGACTGCCATTACAGAGAAACAAACACCCATTTTATTGGTGACTCTAGAAATGTTGCTTTTAGCCACTCATCTGTGTGTTTTTCATCCTGCACAAAACAGATGTCCTTATCACTCCGTTAGAAGCAGATCTGTGATTCAGCACAGTGTCACTTTCATTTCCTCAAGTGATTGACAGATTCTCGTCTGATAAATTGAACCATATTTACATCTCTTTAGGTATTATTTATAGTTTATGATTGGACAAAATCTGAAAGGAATTTGGAGACCCAGTTAGAGCTAAATTAAATTGGTCTAAACAGCAAAACAGCTGCATTCAAGCCTTTTAATCACCAAGTGCAATGCAAAGTGTTAGATGCAATGGTGGAGAGCACCTCCACAGCAGTGCAGACGTCTCCTCTGGAATAAATGAAGCTTTGAGGTGTCTGCTAAAAAAAATAATTGGGTCAAGTTTAGCAGCTAGCAGGAGAACCATGCTTATCCGATTGCATTGAATCATTATAAAGCTTAATGTAGAGGACATTATGATCTGGGGCTAGTTTTCAGGAGAAAGGAACTCTTAATATATCTGCAGACAAAAACATTTAGGAAAACCCCATGTTCCCCCAACTCAGTAGCAAAAGTTTACAGATGGCTCTTCTAGGTTCTAACATACATCTTTAAATTGGAGCACAAACTCAGGTCAATAAGGACAACGATGAGTAAGTTTGGGTAATCAGACTCAGGCAATAATCAAAAACAGAGAGTGATAGCCAGGTGTTCTTTTTAAACATCAATGTCTGGCCTGAAATATATAAATATAAAGTGCAAATATAGAAATGGTAAAAGAAAAACAGATATGAAAGATTTTCAGAAGAAGGCAGGCTGTTATATCTATGAATTAAGAATGAAATGTCTCTGGAGTTCTTCTATGAGTTAGGGCAGACAGCTTCAAGCAGTGAAATACGCACCACTCTTCCTTCTACGTATGTTCCCATCTCAGAGATTAATCTGTCAATATGCTTTAGCAGTAAATTGCAGATGTGTTCTCACGCAAAAAACATCAGGAAGGTGCACAGGAAGAGGTGTCAAAATATTCAAACTTTTTCCATGTGTCTTAAAAAACTACAAACAAAAGACAGAAAAAAACATGGACTCATTAGGAGATAAAAAAGGCATGACTTGAATTTACACATATCCCTGAATCAGGCTCTAAAAACGTAAGGTGCAAACTTCAGGGCTAGCCAACCAAAGAATCAGTACAGGCAGCCAGATATCAAAATGTGTACAACGGAAAATAAATAAAATAAAACAATGAAATTCTAAACTACAATAAATCAGGCGTTCTGGAGAACATCAACAACTGCTTTGGAAAAAAAAGGCCAAGTATAAGGCAGGGAAAATTAAAGACCAAAAAATTATAGGAATTTTTACATGCTACACAACAAAAAGAAAATGTATAAGGATCAGAATGAATATGCTAAAGTATTTGTATACTTTTAATACAACAAAATCAATTATATGGGTTTCTGTTTTTTGTTTTAAAGCAAGATGCATCCAAGCAGGCGCTTTAATGGCTCAAAGTGACAACAAAGGAGAGGAAGCCTTAGAGCTCCAAGCCTCTCTAAACCCTTCAACATACAATAGTGCAATTGACAAACATTTATTAAATCTAGTAAAGCTTGCCACCCATAGCTTGTAGTAGTGCTCCAAAAAGAGAGAATTGTATAAAAAAAAATGAAATAATGAAAACACAAAAATTTATAACGGATGTTAGGATTTTTAAAGCTTTACAAAGCTCTGAATATTGTAAGTGTCTGAGTTTTAGTGAAGCAGCTGTGTGTAGCATCAATCAGCTTGCTGTAGCAGCAAAGCTAGTCCTAAAATCACCCTTACTTAATACTTAAGCAGCAGATTATAAGTATTTCAAAATTAAAAAAGTCAGAAATGCTTGTCTTTTAAATAACTCATTAGGGAAAATAATTTGCATATTTTCCCTATATCTAGAAAAAAGCCTTTTTAATTGTATAAGGTGTTTGCAAATGCATTACAGAGAGAAAGAAGGAGTGAGATTTTCTAGAGCTATAATTCAAGTCCACTTGGTTCCGTTTGGGTCCCTTGATAGGTTCAATTCACTATCAGCGCAACACCGCCAACCCAAGAAAGAAACTCTCCACCCCAGGTTTATTAGGCAATTTAAAGATGATGAATATAAATTAAGGTGTGACCAGGGGTGACTGCTGGTTAATGATTACCAAGGCATAAGCTCAGAATACTAAGTAATAACATTTTTTTATTACATTAACATTAAAACCTTATGTGAAAAGCATTATATTGAAAACTCCAGGTCCCAGATCTTTAGTTAAATTATCAAATTAAATTATCCTCAGCCTATCCTAACATTTTTGTGTTATTTGCACACAAAAATCATGCTAAAACATTTTTTTTTACACCACCAAGCTTAAATGTGACATGCTAAAATTAAAAACTCGGCATCTTAAAAAGGTTTTACTTACAATAACATTAAAATGTTTGATGGTACTGTCTCAGCTGTTAAAGGTTTTGTTTTGTTTTTGTTTTAGATGTGCCATCATTTTATAGACCAAGTGCCAGAATGCCCAGATTTTTCCACCAGCCCCTTCTTTAACCTGTTGCTGTGCACTAATAGTTGTCTCAAAGAAGCAAACAACAGTTTTTTTTCAAATTAGAAAAAGAAAAATGCAGCTGTTTGGAAATAACATCATCACAAAAAGAAAAACAGTCAGTTATCAAGTGCAATAGGAGGAATTCCACCCAACACTCTTACAATGAGAACACTGTTTTGATGCTACAGCTGGCAGACTACAGAATTAAGCTTAAATGTAAAGCGGGTGACTGCAGGCTGGTTATATCAATCCAATGATTTCTATCAGTAAACCACTTTTTTTTTGTGAAGCTCGATAAAGGACAGAACATCAAAAATGAATAGTATTCTGCACATTAGGCACATTTATCAACAAGCTACAATTAAATCTAGAGATTGTTTATCCTAGTTTTGCCTTGTTCAAATATTTCTTCAGATAATTTTATCATAGTGGAAAACCAATTAATTTTATTATAAAATATACATTACAATGAGAAGAGACAAAGTATGATCATGGATTGCATGCTGTAGTGGGAAAATCTCACTATAACACATCACCCCCATTTGGCCTCTGAATAATCTAGCCACACTTTACATAAATAAAAAACAGGCCTGAACAGGCCTTTAACTTACTAGTCAGGTTGTTTGGCAGGCAACCCAACCCTAAATGAGAGGAGGAAGGTAGGCTTACCATTCAAAAAGTGGGCCTGATGTGACAGCACACTGGCCTCAATGTCGAGCAAGCTTTCGATTAAGAAGGCTTAATGAGGTTTATCCAGCTGTAAAAAGCCGGTGACAAAACTAAGCAACATGTAAGCCTTGGAGATAAAGTTGATCATTTAACTAAAATCAGCAATTCCAGAAAGACACGCATGCAAAACTGAGCCGATCTGTATGTGATCACATCCTATGACCAATACTGTCTTTTTTCCGGGTTCTTTTCCCAGGAATAGTGTAAGCACGGGTCCAAATTTCGACACCTACTGACCAACAACAATGCACTCACATCACTTTTAAAATCTCCAGGTATTCACTGTGTTAGGCCACCTGCTAATGACTAATACAATGGTTTCCAATTAACCAAACCCTGTAAGAAAAGAACGTAGCGATGTCAATAATAATTGGCCGTACCTGCTCAATAAGGGTTAGATATAGAATTGATAACCACAGATATTAATAAGCAACAGCTGCTCTGGTAACTGACTTTGTTGGCTCCTCAAGCAGCCCAACAAAGCTAACGCCCAGCTCACCTGTGACTGCCGTAGAAACGTAGAAACTCGCCGAAGACGGACCTTAAACATAATCTAATCGCATACTACCGACATTGCCTGTGTCCAGCTAACTCCAGCGCAGCGTTGACAGGGCGGATATCTTAAGCCTCTTGTATTAACGCAGTGTTATCTGTGTAATCCGCGGCTGACAGCCACTTATAGCTGACAGCCTCTCTGCGAAGCCAGCGTGCCGTCCTGGTCGTGTCTGTCCGCCGGGTCCTGTGTTTACCTGAGTGGAGGACTGACGCCGAAGCGCTAACGGCACTGAGCTAACCAGCCATACCGTTTAAAAACAAACTGCCGTAAGGACCAAACGGCTTAGTTATACCGGCGCCAACTTACCTCTGCGAACATGTTCTTAAAACGCTTTGCGTGTCGTGGGTCCGTCTAACCCCACCACATCGTAACAGGCGGTGTTGAGGTTATTTTTCTCAGCTAAAAAGCGCTCGTTACTCCAAATCTCCGTACTCTCTACGGAGCGTCGCCATGTTGGCAAGGTTTACGTCATCGGAGCGTAGGCTCTGAACGTCGCTACGCCATTGGCTTGAGGATGATGACGCAGGATGCAGCTATATTCACAATGACCGACCTAAAAACAAAAAATTTCTATAACTTTTATCTGTATCTGTATCTCTTTTGGTGTGCTTTGTAGCAAATAAAGAATAAAATTCACCAATATGCTCTAAAAAAAATACATAATGTTATACATACATTTGTATACTCCAGAAGTGTTTTATAAGATATATATATATATATATATATATATATATATATATATATATATATATATATATATATAT